ATGCTGCTTGGCCTGCTGTGTTCATCCAGCCCTGCACCTTGTTGTCTTGGATTTGGCAAGTGATCTGTCACTCAGAGTCACCAGGTTGTCACTGGTAAAGAGCAGTGTTTAATTGGAGATCTCAAGAAACAAGAGGGGTAGATTCTAAAAACAATGGACGAATATCTTCAAGAAATTCAAAGAAAATTTCAGTTCGATTGAACCTTGATAGCTGAGTCAGGAGGGCATCAGGATTCAGAAGATCAAAGATTCACATTTCTGTTTGGGGGTTGCACACGACTTGGTAGGCTGAATGGCTTCTTTCTATGCTGTAAATGAATCTTTGAGAAAGTTTCAAAGTTGCAGAAGTAATTAGAAGAAAAAGACAATTGATCTTTCTGAAAGTGAGGTAATATATCACAAGTCAGTTCAGTTCCGTCACCAAATCACCAATGCTAGCTACTGAATTATTTGCAACTTTTTAACTTGATAGTTTGGACTTTCTTGAGGTTGTTCTGTTACAACACTAAACTAACCTTCTCCCACGCTGTCTACAGAGTTCCAAAAATGCCAACAATCTGAACAACAAATTGCATTAATGTAATACCTTCCAAGGGCATTGCACAGCAGTGATACCAAACTAAGTTTGACATTGAGTCGCATAGGGAAATTTTAGGACTGGTAACCAAAAAAGATTAATAACAGAATCAAGTTTTAATGAGCATGTTATAAAATGGGAAAGGTAAGAGAGATTTAGAGAGGAAATTTCAGAGTTTTAGGACTAGACAGTTAAAAACATAGATGTTAATGATCTAGCAATGAAAATCTGGGATGTGTAAGAGGCATCCACTTGGCTGTCACCTGTTTGGTAGCTACGCTGCAAGATCAACAAACCTTTTCTGAAGAAGGGTCCAGACCCAAAATGTCGGCTTTCCTGCTCCTCTGATGCTGCCTGGCCTACTGTGTTCATCTAGCTCCATACCGTCTTATCTCAGACTCCAGCATCGGCAGTTCCTACTATCTTGAAGATCAACAAACCACTGTCTAGTTAATGCTGTGAACTTGCTTTGCATAAACACTAATAGGCTGAGAACAATTGCAATCATTACTACTTGCTTTCATGCTGATATTTCTACCCTAAGTCTGCTGCAGTATTCCAGAGAAGCCCAATGCAAATTGAAGGAACAGAAATTCATTTTCTGCTCAGGCGTCCAAGACTCGATATGGAATTGAAGACTTCAGACCATGAACACTGCTATCTGTTCTAATTACATCCCCATAACACCATCCCCACTGTACCAGCTTCAATAGTCCACTAGTTTTCATGGGTTTGTTCTCAGAAAAGCTGACCTGTTTTCTACTACCGTTGCAATCCATTCTGTGTCCATATTAGTCCTCTATTACCATTAGCACTCTCTTTGTGTTCAGCTTTAGGCACACTGGACATCTGTTCCACTAGCTCCTCCTCCCCTTTTGCAAACACCATAAAAAACATCATTTTCCAGTCCCCTTAAAGTTCCAAAGAAGAATCATGTTACACTTGAAATGTTAACTCTGTTTCTTTCTCCACAGATGCCACCAGATTTGCTGAGTTTCTCTAGCACTTACTGCCTTTATTTCAGATCTCAAACATCCACAGTACTTTGCTTTACTCAACTGCTATAACAACAGACTTTTCAATGGGTTAGTTATACAGTTCTGGTATGATGTTGATAAAGTTAAATGTATATCAGATTCTTGTCCAAAGGATTACTAACTTCTTCACTGACTACGCTCATACTTTTTTTTTGAGTTGTGGGAATCATTAACAATGATAGACATTGTCATCTATCCTTAATTGCTTTTGATCTAAGTGAGGCCATTTCAGAGAACAATTAAGAGTTATTACAAGTCTGGAGTCTCATGTAGGCCAATCCAGCAAGAATGGCCCATTTCCTTCTCTGAAGGACATTAGTGAACCAGATGTGTTTTTAAAAAGAATAACAATTGATGACATGACAGTTTCATGGCAATATCACTGAAACTAGCTTTCAGTTCCTATCTTTACTAATCAGCTGCCACAGCAACATTTGAACTCATGTCAGAACTGTAGTTAACCCTTATCTGTAACCCTCATGTCCAGCATATCCCTTAATCAACCATCACCAAGCCAGGGGGTCAATTCCAGCCCCATCAGGAGGTCATGCTAGGAGCAGTGCAAAGTACATTTAACAATGAGATACCAACCTGATGCAGGTATAAGACACGACAACAACCATTCCAACTGATGAAAGCAGCAGGTACACACAGCTAAGTGATTCCACAACCAACGAATCTGATCAATGTTCTGTAATAATAATTGCTGGTAGAGAATTAAACAGTTATTGGGAAGCAGAGGCTGCACGCGTATGTCCATTGTGAAACTTGGTGGAGCCCAGCAGGACAATGCCAAAGACAAGGCTAAAACACTTACCAGCACCCTCAGCCAGGGCTACTGAGTGGATGATACATCTCAGCCTTCCCAGCATTACAAGATGTCATGTTCAGCCAATTCAATTCACCCCATGAGATATCTAGAAATGCTCAGCATACAGACTGTGGTCTAGCTTATATGTCCTGTCAATGCTCGAAAGTACTGACAAATTGTAGTCCAGGACCCAAAGTGTTTCCAGCCAAACTATTCCAGTACAGCTACAAAACTAGTATCTTGCCATCAATGTGGAAAGTTGCCCAGTTATTTCTGAGCTCAACAAACAGGATAAATTCAATCCTGATAATTACCACATTAGTGTAATCTCAACCATCAGAAAAGTGATGATGGATATTATGGAATGTGCTATCAAATGTCACTTACTGAGCAATAAGCTACTCCCTGATGCTCAATAAAAACTGAAAGAACTGTGGATGCTGTAAATCAGGAACAAGAATATAAGTTGCTGGAAAAGCTCATCAGGTCTGGCAGCACCTGTGAAGAAAAAATTAAAGTTAACGTTTCAGGTCCGGTGACCCTTCCTCAAAACTGGGTTCTGAGGAAAGGCCACCAGACCTGAAAAGTTAACTCTGATTTTTTTCTTCACAGATGCTGCCAGACCTGCTGGGCTTTACCAGAAACTTTGTTTTTGTCCCTGATGCTCAATATGGCTTCTGCCAAGACCACTCACCTTCAGACTTTTTTACAGCCTTTGCCCAAATGTGGACAAAAAGTCTGAATTCTGGAAATGAGGTGAGAATGACTGCCCTTGAGATCAATGCAGCATTTGACTGAATATGACATCCAGGTGACCTAGAAAAATTGTAGTCAATGAAAATCAGGGGCAAAGGTCTCCATTGGTTGGAGTCATAGCAAGCACAAAGGAAAATAGTTCTGATTAATGGATGTAAATCATCTCAGCCTCACTATTATTTTAACAGAAATATTTGGACCAAAATATCTGATATAAATTTCCAGTTATGAATACAAAATCATACAATCCCTCCTTTTGTGGTGGTCTCAGGCATTGGGCAGTTGTACCTCCCCCCAGGGATGTTCTGGCTTTAAGGACACTTGGGTGAGGTACCGTCTGTGCCCTAACCTAGTCCTTCAGTGGTTTTATTTTCTTTCCAGTTTTAGTAAACCTTGAACATTGTGTGATTCTTTGTGACTGTAATTCTGCATTTCATACGCTTAGAAGCAAAGATAATAAATTAAATGTTACTCCAAATCTTTCATTCTTTATTTCTGCCTAAACACTTAATCACCTGACAATAAAAAATCTTCCAAAGATCAGCCTAAAGATCATGTGCATTGTTTACATAATTTTCTGATTATCAATGATGTATCAATTTAATGACTAAAAATTCTATTACTCCCATATGGTAGTCTGTTAACTTTGCACAATAAAGTACTCTTCAAGCAGCATGCTCGACTTGAAACTTTGACTCTGTTTCTCCAGCCATAGATGCTATGAGGGACCACAGCATTCATGGCTTGGATAGACTCTTCCATTGACCTTGCCAGTGTGCCCATACCACCTAGATCCTCTGCCAGATCTTGTCTTGCTGAATGTTCTTCTGCCTTGCTGATGACTCCAGAGGCTTATTATTAGCCTAGGACTTGGCATTAACAGGCACTCCCTTACACCACCGAAAGTCACTGGACAAGCCACCCTTGAGATATAATTCTCTGCAGTATCAATTGACTGGCAGTCTTGCTGTATAGGGTATAATTGGCCATGTGGATTTTAATTGGGCCAGGGGTGGAGTGTTGGTTGGGAATATGCGGGATGTGCACTTTTAGTTCCTCCTCTGTGACTCTGCAGGCTCTGGTAAAAACCTGCCCTATGGTGAAGAGTCTGTTGACGCCCAGGGTATCCAGGAAAGAAAAGTGAGAGCAGTCATTGTGGTGTCTTGCTAACTTTCACTAGATCATTTTTCTGGAACTGGTCTTTAGTCCTAGAGATGAAACAGGTAATATTCAGTACCCTTATTTCCTTTCTCCATTTTCAACATGCTGTTTATTTTTGAATTTGCTTCCTGACCACTCATTGATGTATACCTCAGAATTACCACAGTCTGACAGACAGCCTTTCAAAAGCAGCGCTGGTAATTACAGCACAGCAATCCTATACAACTGAGGATTCTCATTAACAAGCTGACAATGGACACCAGGGTCAGCGCTGTACCAAGTCAACAAGAATGGGTTCATCGGAGAAGTTCACTCTTGGCATTGCTGGAATTTGAAGCTGAATGTGCTGGGCTGAGTTCAAGATTCTGCTTATTTTACGAAAAGGTCAATAGAAATGCTTGTAGGAAAATTCAAGTTTAAAATAGAAAAGCTAATACAAAAGTGTTATGTATTAAAGTTTAAATCAATACTCACTATATTCACTGTCAGAATTCAATCTTTCTAGCTTTGTTTTGTAAATGAACATTAGCTATTATGTGCACAAAAATGACACTTTATAAACTGAACTTTTCGTCAGTAATATTTTACTTTGTTAAAATACTTTAATTACAGTAGTCCTTTACAATAGATACTGTACCTATTATTGATTCCTAAGATTGAAAAACCATTCATCAACAGTATAAACTGTGGATGCTCAATAAATATACTTTTAAAATCACTTCCTGTACAGAATTTCAAGAAGATACAGTGTCTTTGATAATAAAAATACAATAAAGATACAATTTGAAGTGAATTTTAATTCAATGTTTCTTGGTGCTTGTTCAGCATATTATACAGTATAAGTATACTATAAAAACATGCAAAAACAAGTGAAAGAAATTTGGCAGATGAAACATCAAAATTACTGTTGTGGGAATACCTCAAGTAAAGATAAAGATTTTTCATTTATACATTTGGTAAACAAAATACAAAATGATCGGGCAAACAGGAAAGTTATTCAATTCTTATTTCATATTCATTTTTTCAGGAATAGAAGGAAAACATAGCTGAATTAAATACATTTTCTGAGACTCCACACCACTGGTAGATATTGCATGTGGTAAACAGCTTATCAGAAAATTAGAAGTAAGGAATCAGGGATATTTTTGATGAGACAGGTAAGTTTAATTTTTGGTGAACATGTAAACAAGCTACATAGATCAGTTGCCTGTTATACATCTCATTAATTTTCTTCTCTCTAGACTTCAAAGGACACATAAATCAGGAGAGGTGTGTAACAGTGGTCAATCTGATATCTCCCCATTTATACAATTGGCAAATGCTAAAATTATCCCTAGGTTCCTTGCTACATTGCAAAGCTCTGCCAGTGATATGCACAATAGGAACAATGGGATATTATAACAACAATGAAAGAGCTAGACAATATAAAGTAAGTAGCAGGAAAGCAGTTTTCAAACTACAGGAAATTTAATATCCTCTTGAATGGTGGATTTGGTGGCAGGAAGAGCATCTAATCAAACAGGAAGATGGGGTGGGGTGCTCGTTAAGCGCAAATTCAGAACATAAACCCAGTCAAGGATGCTTGGAGATTTTTGGGGGAGGCTGGAGAGACTCTTCCATTGTAAGGCACTCAGTGCATGATTGAGGAACCCAGCATTGTGGAGACTAGGGAGAGGCATCTTGCTGAGAGTCATGCCCCTGCCCTTGCTGCCAATATAGCTATTTTGCAACCACCCACCCACCATTTCTTGCAAGTGCCTGGATCAATTTTTGATCCTGGGCCTTGGGTGGGTGTAATACAGGAAGCAGCTCCAGCCATCCTGGGTGCAGCCAAATAATGAAGCTCTGTTGCCCACACAGAGGCTGGTAGCTCCTGGTAGGTGAGGCTTATGGGAATTTCATGGCTATGTCAATAAGTGTTTATTTACTAATGTAATTTCTAGAATATGGTTTCTTCTATTAAGCAGGGCAATAAATAAATGCATTTGTAAAGTGGACAACATCGGTTTTATTCTTCAATGAAAACAAAAGAAGAAAGTAAAATATAACCTCTGGTTGCTGGAAACTTGACAAAGTACAATTTAATATTGATTATGAAAGCAGAGATATTCCCTATTTAACTTGCTGGGACCTTTAGAAGAAATTAATGGCACAGAGACCAAAATGAATATGTTGATAGCATTTACTCAGATTTTCAGAAAACTTTCAACACATTTATATTATTATAAGGCAATAAACTATGGAATATATATACTGCTAGATGGAAAATTGTATTTAAAAAAAACAGAAAAGACTAGATCTTTGCCCCTATTGATGCCTAGTGCCTCGCAGCTACAGAACACTGGGTGGTGTTTTAATTGGCTGGAGGCAGAACTTCAGTCACACACTTGGGAAACACTGCCGCCTCTGATTGGCTGGCAGCTCTAGTTCCAGTAGCACCACTGGGATCACTGGTCACCACTGGGACTGCAGGCAGTCCCATGAGGCTAAGTGCTGGAGTTTACAGGGAAAGGTAGGTTTGGAATCTTGCAGCAGAAATGGAAGAGAACCCTGGAGGTGACAAGAACATGGGGTGATGGATTAAGGAAAACGTTTGTCAGAGTCAGAACGATTTTAACCTGTACATAATAGATTCAATTAAATTTTGAACTGGTTTATACAAGACCAAGAGTCTAAAGAATGAATGTATGTGAAATGGAGAGTGCTGTCAAGAAAAAGATTCTTTGGAATTATAATTGATAAATCTAAGAAACAATAAGTAGAATGCACAACTGCAGATAAAATGGCAAAATTCTGGATTTTGCATGACTAAAAGAGGTAATTTTGTTGCAATTTAAGGCATTGATCAATGCATCTAAGATACTGTGTGTAGCCCTGCTCATTTAATCATAGACAATGTTAACAGAGGAGAACGGCAAAGAACATTCTGTATAACAGTAAAGGAGTTGGGTTTTCAACTTTTGGGGTCGCTCCAAGATTCCAACAGTTGAGCAGAGAAGGCAGCTGGTCTCAGCCAGAAAGCATACCTGGAGTTGCTGCATAAGCAATGAAGTGGATGTTGTAAGAACACAGATCCTGTGCTGGAAGAAACGTAATTACCTGCTGCAGTTTGAAAGAGTGAGAAGCATTTAACATGGGAAAATGGAAGCCCGGGCATGAATTAGAAACTACCCAGGACATATGGGCTGAGGTAAGAGGCAATAGCAAGCACCAAAATCTACATGAGGAACCCAGTTCTTTAAACTGTATGATTAGTGATGGGTGAATGCTACATTCAGATTGCTGAATGGCTGCTACACCATGCCCTCCTAGTGGCACTATGCTACACATTTACACTTTCTTAGAATGACCAGGACAGAAGTGCCATAAAGTGTGGAATGGGCATAACAATCTGGTCAGCACAAACATGCAGGAGGAGAAGGGGAGGCAGTGGCAGGTGTAGCCGCTAAAGTGAGGAGAGATCCACTAGTGCACAGCACCGTGCAGATGACAAGCTCCGGGTATCATCAGCAAAGAAGTCGATGCTTCAGCAACATTGGGAAATCTGTAAAGTTTTCAGAGGCTGTGAAGTTCCAATCACAAATGATAACCCTTATGGAAAGGTACATGGAACAAAGCACTGCAATGGACTTTGCACGAATGCTCATAATGTTGCCTGATCCTGTAGGTCTGTGGAGTGAGCTGAGGTGAGGGGTAGGGGGAATGACTGCTGGCAGGCATTGAAACCAAACAATTGAGGCTTGAGGGATCTGAAAAGGCTCAGGGAGGGCAAGCAGAAGGTAATGGAGACTCATTACAAAGTGCTTTGATCATCAAAGGTAAATCCTTGGCCATTTGATGGTGATATAAAAGTTGCATGCTGGTCTGATGACTGATGTGAAACCTGCACAGATACAGGTGACTCTAATGTGTCAGGCCCCCAAAGTTGCAAACTATTGCCAGCTAATTCACTGGAGCAAGAAAGGCAGCAGGCAACACTCATCTCAGCATCTGGTGCAGCAGTAATACTGATAGAAATGTTTGCAAGTGAATGCATGATTGGATGGGGGAACTTACACTTATAGTTTGACCGAATGAGAATAATTTGTTAACTGCAGTAGCACTTCATATTTAATGAGAGTTAAAGTGCTTGACATTCAATGTATAAAGGCTCACATTTTTAATTTTAAACGACAGTTTATAGTGACCAGATGTGGAATCAAATCGTTGGATGGTATGTAATATTAAGGGCATCATGAGCATCTGTGTTGATAGGACTTACATGTACGACCACATGTTATAGAGAGATGCAAAGTATTTCTGATAAACTGTCAGCCGGCCTTTCTCTGGCAAAGAAGTGGTTGACTTGGGAGCCCTGTGCACTTGTCCTCAAGTGAAATGTCTGGTGATCAAAGAGTCATAAATGTATCCTGCTGTGCATGTCACTAACCTATGTGCTGGGCCCCTCAGTTGGCATATATTGAGGTGCCTTGTTTTTATCTCCCTCTTCCTGTAAGGATGGGGCTTACTCAGTGCCTAGCCATACTCCCAGTGGAGCAACAGGTTCTGCAATGTACCGGATGTCCTTGAAGTTGAATCAAATGTCTTCTTGATGTCTTCAGAGACATTTAAACCTTTCGAAAGGCCAATGACCTACTTGATGGTGGCCCTTGTAGTCATATAATAGAAGTTTTATGTGTCCTGTGTTCAGGTTGTATACAGGGGTCAGAAGCCGTGACCTCAGGGAATAATCCTCGTTCCCTACAATCAGCATGAAGGCATGCTGGCCTGAACAATTGAGGCATTTGGGACATGTCTGATCTGTCACAGTGGTCACAAATGATTTGAGGGACTGGAACACTTTCCTGTTCACAGATTCTGAGGCAGCTTTAATGACCATATGAATACAGCCAATAACTTGTTGCACCTGAGGAAATTTCAGCCAGGGCCCCAAAGTAACTCCTGTCTAGGCCTGACTGGTCCTATTGATTGTGAACTGGATATATGGGCCAGCTTCACGGCACATGCCGTTTTTGCAGCAAAGGGCTGCTAACTGATGGAGCCACATGGTACCAGGAATGAATCACGAGCAAAATCTTTTAAGTACAAACATCACCTTTGAAGTTACTGGATGTCCATCACTTCCCATTGGCATCAACTCCCCCTCCAGCATATTACATTTGTACTTGGACATCTCCATGAAGCTTAGCCTTTGATAGTACACACCTTGAATGGAGAGCCTTTGTTGTGACCACAAAGCTGCCACATTGTCCCCATGAACATTCCTCAACCATGTCTGATAGCTTCCTCAACTTCCTCAGCTGCTACACAGATGGCTCCAAGCAGTTGGAAAATGCAGTAAAACAATTGTCAGTTGGTCGTTAACTAATTGTTGGTAATCTGTCAACTGCTGATGGTTCCTGCTGTCAGCATCTGGTAACATTGGTCGAAGGTGGGAAGACAACAAGAAGCTGACCTAGTGCAGCCACATTCCATATACAAAGCCTTCCCCAGGCCACCTCAATTCCTACCTCTCCAGGGCCAGTAACATTCTGCCAAATAATGTTCGTGCCAGTTTGTTTTTCTTTATTGAAGTGAAGACATATATACTGGTGAACAAGTTAAAATTGAGCTTTTATATCTGGAATAGAAGTCAAGCATATCTTCTACTCTCAACTAATACTAGAATTGTGCAGTCGCCTAACAGGAAAGGTGATTGAAGTTATCAGTACAAATAAGTTAAAGAAACCTTTGGAGAAAGAAAACATGAAAGATATAGTGCAAATTAGGTGGTTGGGATTGATTCATGAGAAAATAACAGTCTTGTTTGAGCCAATGGACCTTTACTATGTTCCTGAATTTTGGTGCTGATTTAGTCTGCAGGTATGTATTCACTTAACCAATTGTGAACTTCGGTGTGAATCTTCTTCTTCCAATTCAAAAGATCCTGTGAGAGATCAATGATCTGTTCAACCATATCTGCCCATTCTCCTTCATCAATGGTACTGTTCAGGAATAATTTAAACTGTAAAAGAAAGATACAAATTTGGGAATAGCTGTCATAGAAACACATGAACATGTAATAGAACATTGACAATTATTGTTTTGTTTTGGATTTCTTGAGAAAACTTACATTAATCAGTATGAAGTGGATTTTTCCACCCTGCTGTACTCTTAGTCATCTCAGCAACATAAGTACTTGGCAAAGACAATGCTTTTCCTACCTTAAGGGTTCTGCCCCAGCTCTGTTCATCTGCTGCTGAAACCCTCCATGCCTATCTCACTTTCAGATATATCTATTGTACCACTGTTCTGGTCATCTCCCATCCACCACTCCCTCTGTGAAGTTTTTGATCCTCTAAAACTGCATTGTGTGATTCCTCTGCTGGATTTTCCCAGTTGTTCAACACTTATATTTTAAAGGACTTACATTGGCTCTTGTTTCCCAATACCTCAAATTTAGAATACACCCTCATGTTTAAATTCATTCATAGGTCCATCCATCCCTCCATCTGTAGCCTTCTCCAATACTACACGATCTTGCTATGCTTAGGCTAAGGTTTTACTGGATTCAAGATGACGCTGACACTGGGTGACTCTTTGTGAGCTCCCTACAGCAGAACTTATTCTCACATTTCTTACAACTGTTCCTCACTTTTAAAGCTCAATTCTCAGTAATGACCTCTCTAATTTCAAATCTAACGTTGATCGTGCTTTGCGCACCTCCTGTGCAGCCGTAACTTGATATGCCTGACTCTGTCTAAACACCCTATGATCTGTATGAGATAACACAGTGTGGAGCTGGAAGGGTCCTGACCCGAAATGTCAGCTTTCCTGCTCCTCTGATGCTGCTCCAGATGCTGCTCTGATATTCCTCCAGCTCCACACTGTGTTATCTCAGACTCCAGCATCAGCAGTTCTTACTATCTCTATGATCTGTATGTCCTTGTATGCTATGATCTGCCTGTACTGCAAGCAAAACAAAACTTTTCACTGTACTTAGGTACATGTGACAACAATAAATCAAATCAAACAATAAGTCAAATCAAATTGACAGATTTATGCTGTGATGTTAATTATTGTTTTAAGAGACATTTAGGCTATTTTTAAATACTGTATTCAATAGTAGCAATAGTACAGCATATATATTTGCAAAGCTTATGTTAAATTTTCATACCTCTTGTAATCCAAAATCAGTTAGGAGCCCTTCACCAACTACTTGAAGTAAAGTTATCAGTTCAAGGTGATAAGTAGAGCTAAAATAAGGACAAAGGTAATTTGAAATATTAATACAATAATAATAATCATATGTAAAGAATATTGTTAATTTGTCTTGCCTCACTTAGTAATTTTTTTGCACCGGAATCAGAAGGTTGTGCCTCCAAATCTTACCCAGGATTTTAATACATAATATAAATTCATGCTTCAAAGCAATATTGAGGAATCATTGCGTTGCTGGAAGTGCGGTATTTTTAAACAGGCATAGAGCTGTTGCTAAGCAGGCAGAAAAGGTCCCATATACTATTTGAAGGGGTGCAGGGAGACTTTCTGATACTTTGGCCATACCTTTTCTTAAGCAATTTCATTCAATCAAAACTGGTCATTTATCTCATTTTGCATTATTCATTTGTATGAAGCATTGTAAGACATGCTGTGAACCCGAAAAGCCCAATTTAAATTACTGTAGACAGTAGCTATTCACCATCAAGACCTGGATTTGCATCCCCTTTGGACACTAGGAATGAAAATTTCAAACTACTGTTGCTGGCAATTTTACATGTAACTAGTTTGGACGAAGTTAACATAGTGCCTACTAGTCTTGATTGTTCAATGCAAACTGGCTGACAACTCAACACCACATGAACAGGCTTTCTCAGAGGCACCTAAGGTGGTTAATGTTAGAAATGGAAATATGTCACAACGTTTCAGAGTTTGAGCTGTGAAGACTTCAAAGAAATGACAGATGAATTCCCTTGGAAACAATGTGCAGCCCTTTCCTCTCAAGTTCCTTAAAAATGAAATGACATACATTCAAAGCAATTAACAGAAGAATTTGAGGGGATTTGAGAAAGTCTATTGCCCATTGAGTGCTGGTGGTCTGGATGTTATTGCTTGAAAGGAGAGCAGAGATAGAACCCCTCTTGCATGTAAAATATACCTGAATATGCACTTGTAGCCAACATGCCTACAAACTGAGACCTGGAAAGAGGGTTTAAGATGGGTAGAAACACAATGGGCTGAATGACCTCCTCTGCTGCTGCAGATATTTCCATATTTCTAAGTTTTTATATCAAAATTTTAATTCTGCACTTGGCAGTGAATTTCTGCCCATTGAGTCAATATTGTAACAAGCACTGCTGAATCCAGAATTGGAAATTCTTTCCTGCTGCATCAATATATAAACAGAATTCTGAAGCAGATTTTCACACATGACCCATCACTATTAAGTAATTGATGCAATCTGTAAATAGAAGTATTTAGAGATAGCAGGAACTACAGATGGCAGAGAATCTGAGATAACAAGGTGTAGAGCTGGATGAACACAGCAGGCCAAGCAGCATCAGAGGAGCAGGAAGGCTGAAGTTTCTGGGCCCGACCCTTCAGCCTTCCTGCGCCTCTGATGCTGCTTGGCCTACTGTGTTCATCCAGCTCTACACCTTGTTAATGGAAATATTTAGCTGTATTTGTTAAAATTATGTGCAAATGGATCAAAAGCAGGTGACAGATAAAACTTGTTGACTTACTTAGTATTAATACTATTCCAGTTTGCTCTTAAGAAGTTCCATACTAAAGGCCAACCAATTGGATTTTCTGCCACCGACTGATAAACTCTATATGAATGCTTCTGAGAGACTGTTAACTCATCCAGAGTATAGTGCAAATATCTGAAAAAATAAATGTTGAAAATTATATTCTCTATGCTTAGTGAGACACTCATATCTATTCTTAAGCAGTGGTCAGTGGTGATGAGGCAGTCAGCACCAAAGCCTTGCGAGCAGCGCGAAGCCTGGCATACCTGGTTGGGTCTTAGCCCAGTGCAGGTGAAAGCACGCCCAGAGCAGGGGTGAGTCAGCCCTCTTGGGGAAGCCCAGCTTGGAGCATCTGCAGGCCTATGGCTCAAGCAAGGATTGTAATGTTTGACATTTTAACTTTATTTCTTTACTTTCCTACTTTAATGCTAAGAAGATTGTAATGCTGAACTTTTTAAACCTATTTCTTTGTTTCTATGTTTCTGTAACTAAGATTTTGTACCTAAGATGGTGCCATGTGTGGCGACATTGTACTTTCTACTGTACTCTTGTACCCTATACTTGAGTACACGTGACAATAAAATCTAAACCTAAATCAAATTAAGTAATTCATGACTGGAGCTGTGTAAAGGCCCTGTCCTCAATCCTGTCACATACAAAGGTAGAACAATAATCAAATATCTAACTTGGCATTATGGAAATTTACAAAATTTCAAGGGTTTACAGTATCTCTTTAAAGATACATTATTTCCTGTGGCTTTGCCTGCTGATATTGAAGGCTAGTAATTCCTAAATATGTCATGATAATACTAAAATTCTATGAAATACAATATCATGCAAAATATATTTAAATCATAATTCATACAAATTTCTTAAAGTTTGTTAATAGGATATAGGTATTCATCATTTTTTGCCCATCCTTAATTATCCTAGAGAAGGTAGTTGTGAGCTGGGTTTTTGAACTGCTGTAATCATTGGGGTGTAGGGACATAAAAAGTGTTGTCAGGTCAGGAGTTCCAGAATTTTGATCTGGCAACAGTGAAGGAATAGCAATATATTTCCGAATCAGGATGATGTCTGACTTGGAAGGGAATTTGCAAGAGATGGCATTTCCATGCATCTACTGCTTCTGTCCTTCAGGTGATCAAGGTCATGGATTTGGATGGCGTTATCGAAGAAGCCTGAGTGAGTTGCTGTTATACATCCTGGAGCTGGTAAACACAGTTATCACTGTGTATTGGAGGTAGAGAGAGTGAAGGTTGAAATTTGTGGATGAGTTACCAATCTAACAGGTTGCTTTGACCTAAACTGTGTCAAGACTTTTGAATGTTGTTGATGCTGAAATTCAAAGGGAATGATCAGATTCTCTCGCGCATCAGATGGTCATCACCTGGCATTTGTGTTGTGCGACTGTACTTGCCACTTGTCAGATCAAGCCTGGATATTGTCACGGTCTTATTGCATATGGACATGGACTGCTTCAGTATCTGAGGTGTCATGAATGGTGCTGAACATTGTGCAATCATCAGTGAACATCCCCAATTCTGACCTTATGATGGATGGAAGGTCATTGATGAAGCAGCTGAAGATAGACACTACCCTGAGGAAGCCCTGCAGAGATGTCCTGGGGCTCAGATGGCTGACTTCCAACCATTATTACCATCTTCCTTTTGTGCCAGGTATGACTCCAACCAGCAGAGAGCAATCCCTGCATTCCTTTTGACTCCAAATTTGCTAGAACTCCTTCATGCCATACATGAATAAATGTTGTATTGTTGTCAAAGACAGTCACTCTCATTGTTTTTCTGGAGTTCAGCTCTTTTGTTCATGTTTGGACCAAGGCTATCACAAGGTCATGAGCCGAATGGCCCTGTTGGAATACAACTGAGTGTCAGTGAGCATGTCATTTCCTTGCAGGTGCTTCTTGATAATACTGTGATGACATTGTACACCATTTTACTGGTGTTTGACAGTCAGTTAATTGAGTGAAAATTGGCTGGGTTGGACTTTTCCTGCTTTTTGTGGGAAGGACATATTTGGGCCTTTTCCCATATTGTTGGGTAAATTCCAGAGTTTTCTCAATACTGGAACTATTGACTCAGCACCTCTTGCTGTATGGTGTTGCAAATACTTCTGCTTTGGCCTTTGGGCTGTCTCATCATTGAGGCTGGCGATATTTATGGACCCTCCATCTTCTATTAGTTGTTTAGCTGTCCAACAACATTCATGATTGGATGTGATAGGGCGGCAGAGCTGATATGGTATTTGTGGGATCATTTAATCATACCTATTCCATGCCTGGTGCTGCTCCTGGCATGATCTCCTGAACTCTTGATTGAAACAGTGTTGATCTCTTGGCTTGATGGTGATGGCAGAGTGGGGAACATGGGGACAATGATGTTCAAGTTTGTGGTTCAATACTGTTCTGATACAGTGCTGATGGCCAACAGCATCTCATAAATGTTCATTTTTGAGTTGGTAGATCTGATCTCATCTAGCACAGTGATAGCGCACACAATGGAGGGTATCCTCAATGTGAAGACAGGACTTCAACTCAACAAGACAATGGGGTGCTCACTTCTACTTGATAATGTCATAGACAGATGCATTTGTGAGTAGACTTTTCGCTGTCTTTTGTTCCCTCCCTTTTAATCATTCACAGGATGAGAGCATCACTCGCTAGGCCAGCATTTATTGCCCATCCCTAATTGCCCAGAAGGCAATTAGGAGTCAATCACACTGCTGCGGGTCTGGAGTCCCATGTAGGTCAGACCAAGTAAGGCCGGCAGTTTCCTTCCCTAAAGGTTATTAGTGACCAGGTTTTTCCCAGCAATTGAAAATGGATTCCAGATTTTTATTGGATTCTGCCATGGCAGGATTCGAACCTGGAACCCCAGAACATTATCTGGGTCTCTGAATTAACAGCCCAGTGGTAATATCTCTAGGCTGTCACCTCGCTTACTACCTGCCACAAGCCCAGTATAGCAGCAATGCCCTTTCGGACCCAGCAAGCTCAGTTTGTATAGGTGAGAAATTCTTGGTGATGGATATTGTACTTTGCATATTGTGAATAATACACTGTTTGATTTGATTAGCCAAACGCCTGCTGTACACTCACCACCCTCACTGCTTCTTCCAATTGGTGTTCAACATGGAGCAGAACTGTTTCATTAGCTGAGAGTACGTTGGTAGGTCATAATCAGCAGGAGGCTTCCTGCCTATGTTTGATATAATGTCATGTTACTTCACAGGGCTCAGAGACAACCTACTTTCCTCAATAATATATTTCAGTTGTCCAATTGAGCTGATCCAAAGTAACTGTTCTCCCACTTTCTTTCTTGCTGAATGAAGATTTCTGCATTAGATTCTACGCTGACCTGTCTACCTGAGTTCATTTTTTTTCATAAACTTTACTGTAATATTTTCAAAGAGGGATGGGGATAAAGAGTAATCAGCCAAGATACAAACAATTTAGGGCTGAAAGTCTGCTTAGCCGTGGGGGGCCAATAAAAATTAGCTCAGTGGGAGAGGGTCAAAAAACTTTGTCGACAGGTGAGGGATGAAAACTTGCTTCGGGATTCGGGTGTGTATTTTAGTTTTCAAATAAACAGTTTGCAAATCTTTATGGCTTGCGTTCTTTTTTTATGACAGTTCTCCTCCACTGTTCTGCTGCTTTGACCTTGGTAGACTGTGTGTTACCAAAATGAGCTGTGCTCCACCTTCTGTACATGGGCTGTCTTACAACTACACTTTCATCTATCCCACATGCTCGAGTACCTTTACTCAAATTACTGTAGGAAACTTTTTTTTGCCTGTATTCTTTGAAAGTTTGAGATTAGTGTAACTTAATTAAAAAACTGTATACTTCTTTTGATGATTCTTTTGTGATACCATTATTGCTAATGGGTTCAATAGATAATTACCTGCCATTTAATTTAATCCTGTGTATAGGCTGTTGTGTAACATTAGGCGATGTTATATCAGAACCAACTTGTCATGTTGAGTTACATTTACAGAACAACTTACTTCCAGAACATTTGGAACCCCAAGACTACATCAAATTTAATCAGTACGTGTATAAATATATATTTATATTAATTAGGGATGGTGTTGTGAACCTTTACAACTGATGCAAAACCAAACTAATTTAGAGTATGATTTGAAGATTAGACAAATGCTTGATTGACATTTGTGACTTCTACCACACAATGAGGTTACCTGTCAAAAAAAATCTATCCCTTACATATATTTATATGCTTTCTACTATTGCAATGCTAGGATGTTTCTCAAGGCTATATTTTTGCCTTAGATAAAGATTTAAAATTAAATATTATGCCACTTTGCAATTGTTAACAGGTCACAAATGGCTGCCACAGAAGGGGAGTGATGAACTTTTTAGAAGAAAGGGTCACTGGATGCAAAATGTTGACTTTGCTTTCCTTCCACAGGTGCCACAAGACCTGCTGAGTTTTTCCATCAATTTCCAATTTTGTAACTTTTTAAAGTCACATTATTTTAATAGGTCTATAATTTTGTTCAAAATCAATGAGTAAAGATTAACACCAAACACTGGGCTCCCTGGACAATTAACAAATGGGCAATTGCCACGGACCTATGGCACATGAATTCACAAACAAAAACAAATTCCTGGAGAAACTCAATAGGTCTGGCAGCACCTTTGGAGAGAAAACAGACTTAACGTTTCTGGTCCAGTGCCCCTCTCTTCAGAATATTAATTGATGCCTTATGATTCCTTCCTGAATTGAGATTGGTCCAGGGTCTACTTAAAAACTGAGTAATTAAGTTGATTGTGTCCTTACTGCCATTCTAAAGGATTATTCAAAAAACAATGCTAATGAATCAATAATGAGTAAGGGGATTTTTTACAAAAATTATGGGATATAACTTTTGAAATAAGATCACTATTGCCACAAAAGGAGCTGGATTTAATGGTGCCGGATATATGGGGACAATATGTTCCTAGTGTTCCACCTTAGCCAAAGATTGAGGGGGAACATGTTTCTGCTCCCAGTGTCTGCCACGTATCATTTAACATCTCCCAGCAGGCTCAGAAAGAAGAGATAACACAGTGTGGAGCTGGAGGAACACAGCAGGCCAGGCAGCATCAGAGGAGCAGGAAAGCTGACATTTCAGGTTGGGACCCTTCTTTAGAAATGGGGGAGGGGGAAGGGAGATCTGAAATAAATAGAGAGAGGAGGGGTGGGGCTGGGGAAGGTAGGTGAAGTTTTCTTTCTATGACTTGTCCAATGTTAGCTTGCACAGCTAATATTTCTAGGCTTCCCATACAGCATGACTCCACACCATATGTAGAATATTTGTGGTAGCAGAATGAGGCACTTAATTAGTCATTAATTGCTCAGTTAAGATCTTCAATTGGCTGAAGGGTGGACAGGTATCCCAATGGCTATCCTATCCCACATATAACTGTAGAGGTGGCAAGGCCGTGCAGGTAGGCAGTGGATTTTGGGTGCCCCTCCCCGCAAATCCACCAGCAAGGAGCATATTATCCAGTGCAAGGATACTGGAAAGTGATAAAGACAAATAATGTTAAGAAATCACACAGGATTGTTCCATTGCTATCTGCTGGAAAGCTAATACCTGGATAGAATCCATGGTTCTCGACTACAACCCATAGCAGACAGTAATCCTTCATCATCTTGTGATGAATTCTGGTAAAGTGTCCATGCAAAGTTCCATTCTTTTTCAGTGCCAGCTTTAATGGCCTCGCAGTAAATATAGCGTCTAGCATAATTTGGAATTCTGAAAGAGAAGAATGTGAAATACTTCCATATTTTTTCAGTTGTTCATTTTCAAATTCTACAAAATTAACTTGCTATTTTGTGGCAGCTTTCGGATGATTATGCCTAGATTTCTAACATGTATCTCCTGCCAGGTAAGGCTTCCTTGCAAAAATGCAATTCTTTGTTTTCTCAAATTCATAAAACTTTCCTAAACTTCAACTAGTGCTCCTTTTAGCATTAACTTCAGTAGATTTAAGTGTTGTGGATAATAGTGGAGTTCAATACATCGATAATGGAGAAAACAATTCCAATAACTATGTTTTGTAAACACTACACTTTTTGTTTGCAATTACTCTTTTAGATTTTAGGTCATAAGTTATTCTTTTGCTTAGATAAAGTGTGAAGCTAGACATGCACAGATGTTTTTGTTGAAAATGTTGTCATTCACAAAAGCTCCAATATAGTTCAGAATCAAGCATTCCCACGTTAGATTAAATGTCGATCAAGAGGCCCACTTTTCTGCAGCAGTATAACTCCTTCGTAATTTTAAAAGAACATTTTCTGGCATTTTCGTTTCAATCATCAGTTACTTAGCAGTACAAAATTTAAACCTACCTGAAATGTGAGATGAATTGTTGAAGGTTTTTGTTTTGCACCCCTTAGAAAAAATGCAAGAATGTGAATTCAGCCATTCATAACAATTTATACTACTGGCGAAAGAGGTGCTGATTGGTTAGCAAGTTGGCTCTGATTGGCCAAGGCATAGGGATGTAGATAGCAATGGGGAACTAAAGGCTTCCCAAAATGATAAGTAATTCAAAAAAGGAGCAAATATATTCCTTTTGTTTACAGAGAACAGGTGCAAAAATGTATGTTGTTTCTATGAAGCATAAATAAGCTGCATTCTATGAGCTTAAATGTTTATCTGAAATTAGTTGTTTATGTAACTTTTGGTGCACTCTGTTGAATACTGTCTGTACTTTGCATATTGTGAATAATACACTGTTTGATTTGATCAGCCAATTATTGGGAAGTATGATACGCAGAGGAAAGGGTGCTTGTTGGTTGGAAAATTGATTTAGTTTGTTGAGGTGTTGCAATTGAGAAAGCAACAATGACTATGGGTTGGTCAAACGCCTGGGTATTAAAAATTTTTGTGATACTTGTTCTTCCAGAATAATGTGAGATGGATCAGGCACTTTGCAGGCCTAAAAGAGGTAGTCTGTGGTCCATTTCAAGTTTGCATGATATTGCATGGTGACAATGGGTTTGCTTTTAGTGTAGAGAAGCCACTCATAGATTTCTCAATTATTCCAGGTCAAGGAAAGGGGATGTGTTGGATTGCTCCAACTTAGAAATGAATTGGAGCATGAGATAGAGCACATTAAGATCTATCAGCCAATATGAATGTTAGGATATATATAGCTCTATGCTCTACAAGATTGACTATAGCAACAATCTTGCAAATAGGGGCTTAGCCATTCACTCAGCTTACATGCTTGATACAGAAATCAAGTGCTTTGAAGCTATCCTGCTGTTATGTGGCTGGCCTGGTCAGATCATTACTCACTGCCTATCGCACAAATTTGGGAATGGATGACAGCCCATCACTTCTGGATCTGAAAAGTGTCCAATTTACCTTAAATTATCCAGGAAAGGCAAAGTATCTCAAAAATTGGAATGAAACGTTAAGCGACTTATTTCACACTGTTACCATGCTGTGGCCACGTGAGTGGTATTTTTCAGCAGCAGGATGCTGCTGTTAGTTCAAACAGAAGTTCTGCCAATTGAACAACATCATGCATGAATTTCAGTGCCAGTGTATAGGCGGATATGTGATCGAATCTAACAGCATATTCCTTTGCTTGTTCACCACAGGCAATTGACAGATAACACTTTTGTCCTTGCAAAACCCAAAGTATGCCTACTATTGGATGTAATTATACATTTGCCCAACATTTTCTGAACAATCCTGAGTGCACAAATATCTATATTACAATGAATTTAAGAATCAGTTGAGCTTGTAATGTGGCTCATTTATGATTGCTAAATGTAACATACACTCATATACAAGAAATTGTTCTCAGTAAGCATAATGAATAATGTTTGCAAAAATTGTTCATGACTCAAAGATATATCCTAGTAAGGATTTCAAACAAGAAATAAAGTCAAGAAAATTAAGGATAATATCATACAGTCATACAGCATGGAAACAGACTCTTTGGTGCAATCAATCCATGCCGACTATAATCCCAAACTAAACTAGTTCCACCTGCCTGCACTTGGCTCGTATCCCTCCAAACGTTTCTTATTCATGTACTTACCTAAATTCTTTTAAATGTTATAATGACCTCAGCATCCATCACTTCCTCTGGAAGTTCATTCCACATACAAATCACTCTCTCTGCAAAAAATAATTGCCCCTCATGTCTTTTTAAAATATTTCTTCTCTCACCTTAAAAATAATTCCCAATCTAGGGAAAAGACATCTGCCATTCACCTTGTCTATGCCCCTCATTATTTTATAAACTTGTATAAAGGTCAGCCCTCAACTTCGAGATAGTAGGAACTGCAGATGCTGGAGAATCTGAGATAACAAGGTGTAGAGCTGGATGAACACAGCAGGCCAGGCAGCATCAGAGGAGCAGGAAAGCTGATGTTTCGGATCTGGACCCTTCTTCTGAAGAAGGGTCCAGATCCCAAACGTCAGCTTTCCTGCTCCTCTGATGCTGTCTGGCCAGCTGTGTTCATCCAGCCCTCAACTTCCTATGCTCCAGTGAAAAAAGTCCAGCCTATCCAGCTTCTTCTTATAATTCAAACCCTCCATTCCTGGCAACATTCTGGTAAATCTCTTCTGAATCTTCTCCAGCTTAATAATATCCTTCCCCTAACAGAGTGACCAGAACTGGACACAGTATTTCAGAAGAGGTCTCACCAACGTCCTGTATAACCTTAACATAACGTCCCAACTCCTATACTCAAAGGTCGGAGCTGTGAAAGCAGCATGCCGAATGCCTTCTTAACCACACTATCTATGTGTGATGCAAAATTCAAAGAATTATGTACCTGAACCCCTAGATCTCCCTGTTCTACAACACTTATCCAAGGCCCTATTTGTAATTGTATAAGTCTTGTCTTTGTTTGTTTTACCAAAATGCAATACCTCACATTTTTTCAAATTAACCTCCATCTGCCACTCTTCAACCCATTGATCCAATTGATCAAGATCTCTTTGTAATCTTAAAAACCTTCTTCACTGTCCACTATACCACCAATTTGGGTGCAAACTTACTAAGTCTTGTTACATCTTTGAATTACATGGAATCTTAAGAAATCTATAGTTCCTGTTGCTTAGTCTATGTCAAATCCTTGGCCATGGAGTCAACTTGCCAACTAATCAGCTTCATTTTCTCCTCTCAGATTGTTTGAAATTTCACATTCTTATGTTTGTTTTGAAGAATGCAAAAACAAAAGGTTTTAGCAACATGATTCACTTTTCAGCAATATTCCATTATCCTATACTAGACTGACAATGAACTCAGTGGAGAATTCATTGCTACACCTGAAGTTAATGGAGCCAACAGAGTCTTACAGGGAAAGCCAATATATTTTCTAGCCTTGGTCATGAATGAGGTTGTACATTATACTGTTAAGTCATTGTGGAAAGCTTATCAAATATATCACTTGAGCTTGTCCTATCTCTGAAGATCTTTGAAGACTTACTGCCAATGACCCTGTCCCAATGCTACTGCTCTTCTGAAGGTCCCCAAGTATAGCAGAAACAGCAGCAGTAAAGGGGAAATTCCCTTCCATGGGTTTCCTTCCCCGTCTCCCTTGTACTCCGTTGTACTTTATCATATCTGATGGGTTAAGGTAACCAACAAAGTGCTGAAATGGAAAGAAATTAAGCACTGGTAGAAATATAACCAGTAAAACCTAAACTTTTGATTTTGTCCCTTTTTTGTTGCTATTTTGAAAATAATATTTTAATGACTTTTTTGTAATTTCATAAGACTTACGTGTTGTTAGCCGGATTACTCATCAGTTGTGAATAAAGATCTGTTGCGCGATCCATGAAGTCCTTTAGATCAAGTAGATACAATTTTTTAAGAGTTCTAATGAATATTGTTCTGGGTGGCAAAGTAGGTAGAAGCAAGTCAGTAACATTTATATATGGAGACATCATATTAGAACAGAACTGTAAGTTAAATCTTACATTGATATCTATTATTTTTTTTAATGAATCGATTGCAACATTAAAAATGCATGAAAACTCTTCTTTCAGGTTTCCATCCCCAGGATGCCTACTTGATACTTCTTTTGCTTCACCCACCTCTCCTCTTTCCTCAGCTAATCTTCAGATGAGACGCTCATCTTTGTAGCGAGGCTCTGTGATTAAGTTCAAAAAAATGGATCGGCCTCCATAGAACCACAGTTTTCCTTTCATTAAAGTCAAAAGACGGGAACATTGGACAGGGTGGTGTCTCTGTCGTATTGCACTCTATCTCTGTGCTACACATTTTTGCACCGCACCCTACTCCAAGCTCTTGTCTGGTTCCAGTTATGCCCCTTGGACACCCACCCTCAAACCTCGTGAGACCTGAACACAGTATTTGATTTTGACCTTCTGTACATCATGCCATGAGAGATTAACAAGTGTTGAATAATTGCTAAATAACAAAACCATGAGAAAGTTGCAGTTCTGACAATAAATAAATTAAACAGATGCCATATTTTCCCAAACAAATTATTTTCAATAAATGTAATATATAGTTAATCTGCAATATTATACTTCATCTTGTGCTCATAGAATTTCTTAATTATTAAAAGTACTTAATTAGCCGTAAAATGCTTGGTATGTTCTGAGACCATGAAATTGCTAAACGATGTAGAATTACACAGAAATTACAAACTAGAACAGGTTTTTCAGCCTAGCTGAACTAGAGTTTATGCACTACACAAACCAACTGACTTTGTTTGATTCTATCAGTATATCTTTCTATTCCTTTCCAGGTTATGTACTTAACTAGTCTCACTTGAAAGGCATCTATACTATTTGCCTCGGCCGTTCAATTTGAAAGTAAATTCGATATTTTAATAGAAAAAGAGGATTTTCCTGAATTTTCTTTCAGATTTAATAGTGAATATTTTATATGTATGACATATGAAAGTTCCTTGCTGCACCATATTGTGAAGCATACAGCAACACCACTACCTTTGATAGCCTTGGACGTGAAATGTGATTAATCCAAAATAATAATGTGTTTAACAACTAATGCTTGAAATTTTCACAGGCTTTTTTGTTTTATCTACTGTGAGATAAATCTTACGGATGGCGGATTTGGGGAAATGTAAAAGAAATCTGACTCCGCTGGGTCTGAAGTGATGCATAGGAGCATGAAAACATAAGATCAGGAGTAGGCCATTCAGGCCATCAAGCCTGCCCCACCATTTTAGCACATGCATTTTAGCACTCCACTTGCGAGCTGCACAAAATTCTCCATATTTATGCTCTATGTAACCATAGTACAAGAACTTGACTGAACTGGTTTACCTAATTAACTAACCACTACATGGTTTTTATCTGCTAATGATGCAGTGCAGAAGTAGGCCATTCAGTCCATCGTGTCTAAAACAGATTAAAAGATGATGAGCAATGGGTTCATCATTAGCATGGGAGCACTTCCCAAATGCAGGTCCTTCTGTGTAATCTGCTCCCTGACATGCTCCTGTGATAATCTTTCAATTTTCTGATGACTTCTTTCAATTTGCAAGCCATTCAGTAGAGATATTCTCTTCCTTCTTCTTTCTTAAGATCTTATGATCTACCTTGACTAGTCTCTTTGCCTTTTCTTAATTATTTTCAGCAAATCTTTGTTCATTGACTCTCTCAGCACTTCATCATATTTTACATTTGCTGGCCAGCCAATCCTTTCCATTCTCCTCCAAACCCACATTTCAAAACTATTCAGCTAGTTGGTCTCCTCTTTTCATAAGGTCTCACATCCATATAAAACAACAGCGCAAGTCAAGCTCTTCAGAAGTCACTGTTGAGTTGTTTGTTCAACTTAGGGGTAGCAACCAACTCTAAATATAGCCTTTCCTACTGCTAGCCTTGACCTTATTTCTTCATTGCAGCTATAATGCTTAATACCTAAATACGTGAATATTTGCACCTTTGCTAGCTCTTTCCCTTCCATGAATATGGGAATATTCTTTGGTGAATTGAAATAGGTGCCACTTTTGTTTTGCTATACTCACTTTCATTTCTAAGTCCATGCCTGCTTTTACACATCTTTTCTATTAATTTTTGTAGTGCTTCTTCTGTGTTTATGCCATCTGCAAATCTAACTGATGTTATCCCTTGCCCCCCAATCTTAGTATCAGATTCTACATCTTTGAATAGTTTTTAAATCACTACTTTTACATTAGCATTGAACCAGAATGATGACAAATGTTTGGGTTGAAATGCAATCATGTACAAATGTCCTTCCTGGTCAGCTAGAGTCATGTGACATCTACCATACGGCACAAAAAAATGCAGGCAGCCACCTTAGAGCCACCTCATATGACTCCATTTTGACCAGACTGACAGAGGTGTACAACGTCTTAAGGGACATGGACAAAATGAATAGAAATCAACTGTTGCCCTTAGTTGAAGGGCTAATAACAAGGGAGCATAATTTTAAAGTGAAAGGCAGGAAGCTTAAAGGGATTTGATGAAAAACCTTTCACCCAGAGAGTGGTGGGTTCTGGAATGCAGTGCCTGGGAGAGTAGTTGAGGTGGGAAACCTCACAAGATTTAAAAAGTACTTGGATCAGTGCTTGAAGTGTCATAACGTTCAAGGTTATGGCCCTAGTACAGGAAAGTTGGACTAGTGTACGTAGTACTGTATTTTTGGTGGTACAGACTTGATGGACCAAAGGGCCTCTTCTAAATTGTATGATTTTATGATACAGAAACACTGAAAGCTGCAGCTTTTCCTCTCCCAGTTCCAGTCAGAATGAAACAAAATGAGCAGTGTTTCCATGTGCAATGGAAAATCAAGTTGTAACAGCAGCTATTTAACAAGCCTGAGCAGCTTTTCATTACTATACTCTTACCACAGTTGGGAAGAGACTATTTCGAAGTGCATGCCACCCTGAATTTTGCTGAAGAACTGAAAAACAGACTGCAGAAATTTTGAAGCCTTGAAGGCACGCTTTGAATCCCAAGGGAACATAACATAAGTGTTCTTCTAAGATATTTGGTCTCTATCTCAAAACAAATATTGCAGAGCATGAACTCCAGGATGTTAATTAACATTCAAGATCCTTTCAAAGCTCAATTAAGACTTTACCAAAGTGTTAAATTTAAAAGTTCTGAAAACTAATATAAAATTCCAAAATAAAACTTTGCTTCTATTAATTCAGGAAGTAAGTTTAATGTAAGGGTATACTTATCTGCTGGAATTATTTTTTCTTCTGGATTTTATTCAAAAAGGAAATTCTACAGTCACTGAACCTGAACTATAGGGTTTAACACTTTGTTTCCTTTCCACTTGCTGAAGAGATCAGAAAAAAAAGTTGCACTTACATAGCTCCTTTCATAACTGTACAATGTCCTGAGACAATTTACAGCCAATGAAATACTTTGAAAATGTATAACTATTGTAGTACATAAAACGCAGCAGTATATACACTCATAGCAAGTTCCCACAAACAGGAAAGTAGTAATGGTTCAATCTCAGCCACACAAACATTGTGAATAGCTGAAAGATAAAGTTGCTTCTTTTCAACCTCCAAAATATATCTCAGTTTAGTATCACCAGAAGAGCACCTTCTGCCACACTCTGTTTATCTATTTTATGTGCCTTTGAGACCATCCATTGTTTCTCTGAGCAAGACTACCAAAGTAGGGACCATTTTATATTGTACCCATAAACTTAGCTCAAAACAATTAACATTGATTTTGTTTGTGACCTTGACAATTAATGGTTTTGTTCCATACATTTGCCCTAGATTCTCTATGTAGATTAAAGAAATGGAAGAATAATGCCATAGGCTGTTCACCTCTCCTCTGTGTATGCCTGCTTTCCAATCAATATCTTTGGATAGCAAGTAGAAGTAACTTATATTTCATTTCCTTATCCTAGTTGTTCTCAGTTTTGGTTAAGATCCAATAATTCAGCACAGGACGGGAAGTAAGTGAAGAATTGTCTTGGTCTACCAGCTGAGTATCTTGCTGGAAGCAGCAATCAATTGCAAGGTATCAAGACAGCCCTTTTAGGTTCTATTTTAATGGAACTAAGAAAGAGAGCAAATACTTGAGCAAAAAAGTTGGCAAATGGAGTATGATGTGTGAAAATGCAAAGTTGTTCACTTTGGAAGGGAGAACAAAAGAACAAAATGTTATTAAAATGGAGAGAAAGTGCAAAAAGCTGCAACACAAAGAGGGTAGAGATAGTATTTACTGCAGATGCTGGAGAATCTGAGATAACAAGGTGTAGAGCTGGATGAACACAGCAGGCCAAGCAGCGTCAGAGGAGCAGGAAGGCTTTGCAGTGGGGTTAAAATTGTTTCAGAGATAGTAGGAACTGCAGATGCTGGAGAATCTGAGATAACAAGGTGTAGAGCTGGATGAACACAGCAGGCCAAGCAGCATCAGAGGAGCAGAAATTTCTGAAGAAGGGTCTAGGCCCGAAACGTCAGCCTTCCTGCTCCTCTGATACTGCTTGGCCTGCTGTGTTCATCCAGCTCTACACTTTGTTATCACACAAAGAGGGTACTGGTGTATGAAACACAGAAAGCTAGCACACAGGTGCAGCAGGTTATCAGGAATGCTAGTGGATGATGGCCCTTATTTCAAGGGGGCTGGTAGAAAGAGTAGGGAAGTCTGACTGCAACTGTACAAGGTACTTGTGAGACCACATTTGGAATACAGTGAGCAGTTTTTGTCCCCTTGTTTAAGGAAATATATTAATCTCATTGGAGGGAGTTCAGAAAAGATTCACCGGAATGACCCTTGGAGTGGAGAGATTGACTATTGAGCAAAAGATAAACAGGTTGGGACTCTACTCATTGGAGTTTAGAAGAATGAGAAGTGATCTCATTGATACACGTGGTATTCTTAATAGGCTTCACAGGGTAAATGCCGAGAGCACGTTTCCCCTAATAGGACTGTCTAGGACCAGAGAGTATACTCTCAGAACAAAAGGGTGCAAATTTAAAATTGAGATGAGAAGGAAATCTCTTCTCTTGGAGAATTGAGAGTCTTTGGTACTCCTTACCATAGAGAGCTGTGGAGTTGATTGCTTGTATATATTTAAAGATGAGATAATAGATTCTTCATCAGTACGGGAATCAAGGCTTTTACAAAGGGCAGGAAAGTGGACGTGAGGACCGTTGGATCAGCTATGAGCCTTTTGAAAGGTGGAACAGGCCGATGGGGCTGAGTGGGCTACTCCTGTTCTTATATCTTAAGGTCTTATGGTCATAGTCAACTGGGTAGCAAGTTAACTGTATGTCTGGTATAAAATAAGTACGTGCTAAATTAATTCGTTATTAATAGACAGAAAATTGTAATACTTACTTTTCAACACTGCTATTATGAATATTATTGAAATCTTCATTCATCAATTTCATTTGATGATAATAAAATGGAACAATTCGACTGAAAATATATTTCTAGAAATAACAAGCAAGTAAATTAAACTTCAAAGTAAAGATATTAATAGAAGCTATTTGTTAATTATGCAATAGAATCTGTGCTTTCAATACAGTAAATTCTCACAATTCGATGAACAAAACATTGATTTCATGTAAACAGGCTTAACACAGACATATACAAAAGCAAACTACAGCAAATGTTGGAAGTCCAAAATGAAAGCAGAAAATGCTGGAAATACTCAGCAGATCAAGAAGCAGACACCGACAGAGAAATAGAGTGGCCAAAACGATGTATGGAGGCGGTGGGTCCATCCTCCAGCTGCTCAGGAAGCCAGCACAGTATTTTAGATTATCAGGCAATGAATTCCTAGGGTCATGACTTTTGGCTGTATGAAGGGGATGTCATGCTCATCCCCAGGAGTGCAACTGGAATCATTGGCTACTGCTGGGACTGTAGTTGGTCCTTAATAAGGAACAGCAGTGGACATCGAACAACTAGACAAATGGGCCGGCTTCGCTGGGACAAGTTAGGCAACAAGCTTTGGTGCGGTACACGTGCAAAGATTGAGCTGGGTGGATAAGTTGATGCTGCACTTGTTATTGGAGGAGTGCCCTCTGTTGGCAGAGGGTGTATGAACAAGAAGATTCTCGCCCATAGCCCATATCAGGATTTACCTGGCTGCCTCCATGGTATAGACATAGCCTGCCACTGGTAAAATACGAGCAGTAGAGGGAGAATGTCATTAAGTAACTATTAATTGCGTACTTTAAGGGCCTTATTTGGCAAGGATGGGCAGGGTGCGTGATATGTATTCTGCCACCGGTAAAATGCCAGCAGTAGTACAGAGGTGATGGGCATAGTTTCTCTGCCATCCCATCAGAATCCACCTGTACCATCAGCCTACTTCCAAGGGGAAGGGTGGGGACACTTAAAATTCTGGACCATCATTCAGGTCAATAATATTTTGATGGTGGGTCACTGACCTGAAATGATATTTCTCTTTCCCTCTTCAGAGGTGCTGCTAGAAACAGACTTATTGATCTGGAATTGGACCTCACTCATTTCTAAGCATTCAAGGATGTTCTTTGTTCTCACCCACATTTTAATGAAACCCAAGGTTGTCTAGGCAGTGGCCATAGACTTTATTTCAGAATTATTAACAATGTGTCAAAAAAAAACAAAGATGAAGACTCTGATGTTTGGGGTTTGGGTTGGGGTTTGGAGCCTAGGTAGGAGCTTGGATCAGGACCTGGGAATATGCCAATGATTGGGCCAACATGTTGGGTTGTGTGTTAGGCTTGGACGTGAACATCAGTAGAGGGAGAGGTGGTGACTTTGAGTTAAATACACCATAAGCCCATTTCTCCACCCAAGTCTCTGACTTTATAAATTTGCCCAAATTGGGACAGGTAATCTTCTGCTTGGGGAAGATGTGGAACATTTCAATCTGGAAAGATTTGTGGGTCTGTGAATATAAATGAATATTGACAGCGGACCACCACATTGTCTAGAGGATCTTTAATTTCTTCAAAATATGTGATGGAGAATGAGCAGTGAGTTGTGAGAAGTAGCTTTCTCTTTTCAATCTTGTTATAAGGTAAAGCCAGAATATCATTGCCCAGCCTGTGACATTGTGCACCAATATCCACTACCAACATACCGACTCCCAAAGTTACCTTGACTACGTCTCTTCACACCTACTCCTTACAAGGATTCCAGTCCATTCTCCCAGTTTCTCCATCTCCATTGCTTATGTTCCAATGATGCCACTTTCCACCAGGGTGTTTCTGACATGTCTTCCTTTATCCTCAACCAACAATTCCCCTACATCATGGCTGAGAGAATCCTCAACTGCATTCGGCCCACCTGCCCTCAACCCTTCTGCTCCCTCCAGGAACAACAATAGGATTCTCTCTGTTCTCACTTTCCATCCCTCCAGTTTCCGCATGTCACCTTTGCATTGGCAAGACCAAATGAAGACTGGGTGGCTGCTTTGTGGAACACCTCCGCACTGTGCACAGAAATGACCCTGCCCTTCCAGTTACAGCCTTTTCAGTAAACCACCTTGATCCTTTGCTAATATTTCTATCCTGGGCTTGTTCAATGTTCCAATGAAGCACAACACATGCTGAAGGAAAAACATCTCATTTTCCACTTAAACACTTTACAGCTTAGCCCTAGCTATGTCTTGTTTGTGTCTTGCTGACATTACTCTCAGCTGAATGGACCTATTTTCTCATTTTTACCCCTATTTTACATCTCTTTCCTTCTTTTACCACCATTAGCATTCCCTGCGTCTTTTGCTCTGGTCACCCTCACAATCTGTTCCACTTGATTTCTGTGTTCCCCTCTGACAACAATATAAAAAACACTGTTTTCCAGGTCCTTTCAGTTCTGAAGAAGAGCCAGATTGGACTTGAAAAAATTCTTTACACGATGCTGGCAGACCTGCTGAGTTTCTCCGGCACTTTCTGTTCTTGTTTCGGATTTCTAGCAAGCACAATAGTTTGCCTTTATATTGCTGTCATGTTGTCTTATAGTTGATGGGTTTTTCTTGTTCCTGATGAATTCAGGACTTGTACATTCTTGTCCATGTTTACATAAATGAAGAGCTCTTCTAACCTCTTAAAATCAAGGGCATTTCTTTTGTTGGGAATAGTAAAGAGTTATTAGACACCATCGTGGCTTATTTGAATTAGTGAATACTTATGCTTGGGGTCAGCTAACATTCCTACGAGATCAGTAAAGTCTTCTTCTGGCTGGTGTAGTCCAAGTTGGTCAGTGGTTGACATCTTCTTAAATGGTTGGCTCCTTCTCAAATTTCATGATATTTCAGACAAAATATGCTTTCTTGCTCAGAATGATGGCTGTTGCTTGTTAATGATGGATGTACATTCTTCATTCTCATGATCTTTATGTTTTAAAGAAACTTTGAAGATCCATTTTATCTTCTGGATTGTTGTGCTGACTTATCCAATGTCAGGTCAGCAACTTTTATGATATTCTACCGCTTTGTCAGATTGCACACTCGCTCCTATATATTAAGGTGGAGTTGTGTTGTATATCCATTGACAAAAATTTGTTCCGTCATGTAGGAGCAAATGACTGCAGATGCTGGAATTTGTACTGAAAACAAAAAATGCTAGAAATCACCGGTCGGGCAGCATCTATAGAGAGAGAGCAAGCTAACAGTTCGAGTCCAGATCACTCTATCAGAGCATGAGTTCTGTTATGTTTGGTTCAGATGGGCCACTTCCTTCCCCTAGGAATTGCTGTAATATTTCTTCTGAACAAGGTATATTATCATCTAAGCATACATTATATATTGGAAGTATACGTTGGGAGTCACAAACATTTTCTCATGGTGTATTAACTTCTTTATGGATGTAACTAATTTTTTTTTATTGTTTTGGGATTCTTCCGGTTTTTGCACAGTTGTTTTGAAAATGTCTCAATGCCTTGCTTAAGTGACATTCTTCTTACAGAACTGAACAATGCTTTTGTACATGTGGGCTTTTTTGGGTGGAATTTTGTGTTCCCTGTGCAGATGGGCAATGGCAAGAAAGTGTTTACACAATATTAAATTTATAGATTCTGATGGTCTTCTGAAGTAAATTCATTCCTCTGTTCGTTAGGTTTTTCTGTGAATTTCTTGAATCTTTAGTGCAATCTGCACAGCCTTTTCCAGGGAGAGATCTTTTTTATGACTGTAAAAGATCTGAAATCTAAAAACTTTATGGTGGGTCAATTGAGGAACAGTGGAGGACTTTCAAAACAATTTTTCACAGTGCTCAGCAGAAGTATATTCCAGTGATAAGGAAGAACTGTAGGAAAAGAGACAGCCAGCCATGGATGTCTAAGGAAATAAAGGAAAGTATCAGATTGAAAAAAAAACACATACAAAAAAGCAAAGAGTAGTGGGAAACTGGTAGACTGGGAAATCTTTAAAGGCCAACAGAAAGCCACAAAAAAAGTTATAAAGAAAAGTAAGATAGATTATGAGAGTAAACTAGCTCAGAATATAAAAACAGGCAGCAAAAGTTTCTGTAAATATGTAATTCGTAAAAGAGTGGCGAAGGTAAACATTGGTCCTTTAGAGGATGAGAAGGCCAATTTAATAACTGGGAATGAGGAAATAGCCGAGACATTAAACAATTATTTCGTGTCGGTCTTCACAGTGGAAGACACAAATAACACGCCGAAAACTAATAGCAAGAAGGTTATAGCAAGTGAGGGCCGAGAAACTATCATTATCACTAAGGAGGCAGTGCTGGGCAAGCTAATGGGGCTAAAGGTAGACAAGTCTCCTGGCCCTGATGAAATGCATCCCAGGGTACTAAAAGAGGTGATGGGGGAAATAGCAAATGCACTAGTAATTATTTACCAAAATTCACTGGACTCTGGGGTGGTTCCCGCAGATTGGAAAATAGCCAATGTGACGACACTGTTTAAAAAATGAAGTAGACAAAAATCAGGTAACTATAGGCCAGTTAGCTTAACTTCGGTAGTGGGGAAAATGCTTGAATCTATCATTAAGGAAGAAATAGCAAGACATCTGGATATAAATTGTCCCATTGGGAACACCCAACATGAGTTCATGAAGGTTAGGTCATGTTTAACTAATTTGGTGGAATTCTTTGAGTACATTACTTGCATGGTGGACAATGGGGAATCTGTGGATGTGGTGTATCTGGATTTCCAGAAGGCATTTGACAAGGTGCCACACCAAAGGCTGCTACATAAGATAAAGTTGCATGGTATTACTGGTAATGTATTGGCATGGATAGAGGATTGGTTGACCAGTAGAAAGCAAAGAGTAGGGGTAAATGGGTGTTTTTCTGGTTGGCGGTCAGTGGCTAGTGGTGTGCCTCAGGGATCAGTGTTGGGAGCTCAATTGTTTACAATTTACATAGATGATTTGGAGTTGGGGACTAAGTGTGGTGTGTCAAAATTTGCAGATGACACTAAGGTGAGTGGTAGAGCAAAGTGTGCAGAAGACACTGAAAGTCTGCAGAGGGATATAGATAGTCTAAGTGAGTGGGCAAAGGTCTGGCAGATGGAGTAAAACGTTGATAAGTGTGAGGTCATCCATTTTGGTAGGAATAACAGCGAAATGGACTATATTTTAAATGGTAAAAAATTGCAGCACGCTGCTGTGCAAAGGGACTTGGGTGTCCTTGTGCATGAATCGCTGAAGGTGGGATTGCAGGTGCAGCAGGTGATTAAAAAGGCAAATGGAATTTTGTCTGCCATTGCTCGAGGGATGGAGTTTAAAAACAGGGAGGCTATGCTGCAGCTGTACAGGGTCCTGGTGAGGCCACACCTGGAGTGCTGTGTGCAGTTTTGGTCTCCTTACTTGAGAAGAGATATAATAGCACTGGAGGGGGTGCAGAGGAGATTCACTCGGTTGATTCCAGAGTTGAGAGGGTTGGATTATGAGGAGAGACTGAGTAGACTGGGCTTATACTCACTGGAATTCAGAAGAATGAGGGGAGATGTTATAGAAACATATAAGATTATGAAGGGAATAGATAAAGTGGAGGCAGGGAGGTTGTTTCCGCTAGCAGGTGAAACTAGGACTAGAGGGTATCGCCTCAAAATAAAGGGAAGCAGATGTAGGACTGAGGTCAGGAGGAACTTCTTCACCCAAAGGGTTGTGAATCTGTGGAATTCCCTGCCCAGTGAAGTGGTTGAAGCTACCTCACTGAATGTTTTTAAGGCAAGGCTAGATAAATTTTTGAACAGTAAAGGAATTAAGGTTATGGTGAGTGGGCAGGTAAGTGGAGCTGAGTCTCAAAGATCAGCCATGATCTTATTAAATGGCGGGGCAGGCTCGAGGGGCCAGATGGCCTACTCCTGCTCCTAGTTCTTATGTTCTTATGAAATTCTGGTGACAATTACTTTACAAATTAGTATTGGTTGGAATGCTCCATATTCACAAGATTTGGACATAATACAAAAGTGGTTGGTAAAATTGTCTACAGATTCTCCTGGAAAGTGTCCATTGATCTTGCTCTTTCCAGAATATGATTGGTTTTTAAAGGAAAATAATTATCACATGCTTTTAAGACATCAAAGATCTCAGCATCTTCTTTAACTTTTTGACTGTTAGTAACAAAGTCTTCTCATTGTCCCAGAAAATTAAGCACTATATTCGTTAATTCCACTTGCAATTAGGTGTGCAGGCCTGAAGCAATTCTGTCTCTCATGAATTATTTCTTCCATGTTGGCAAATGTCATATTCCATCTTATGTATCTGTAACCTTTAGTCAACCTGGAGGTGTGGTAATTTTCTTCATTTTTTTAAAGTCTCTCACTGTAAGCAAGTTTTAATAACTTAAAAAAAATTAAATTCTGCTATGTCCTTAGCTTTTCTTCTTTAAGTTGGAAAAGTGATTTCAAATCATTTGCTCGAAGATTTGTTGGGCAACTTGCAGCTCTAGAAATTCTTTGAAACTGTAGTTGAATTTTGAATACTGCTAAAGCAAGATAGGATCTTCTAATAAAGCTTGAAATCAGAAGTGATTGTTGTTTTGTACTACCTTGAAGCTTTTTTCTTGAAATATTCTTCATTTTTTTCTCTGTGTTCTAATTAGTAAAACCTTTTCTCATCTTTGTATAGTAAAAACATTTATTCAATAGAGCTTCAATTGTTTGAAGACCTCAAAAAGTCTTCAAATTGTCATTTCTTCACATCAAGATCTTAAACTGATGAAGACTCAAGATGGAAAATTGTCACTGTTTTGTCACTATTTTTGAGGGGCTTCCATTCCTTTTCAAAAGGATGGACAATTTGTACTGTTTCTGCTTCTTCCTGAATTGATTCATGCCTCCTTTAACTGAAGAAAATCGTGTCTTGTGCCTTTAAATAATTTTTGTTATACATTAAATCTTCTGCTTCAAAATGACTTTTTAAAAAATCTACCTTTGAATGTTGGATCCTAAACTCTTGACGTTAATTGTTCGTTTGAACTTTCACTTAGAAAACTTTCCTGCAACTTGTAGTAATGACGTTTGGCAATAAAATAGTACACATTTAAATAAAGGTAACAAATTTAGCCTTTTCACAGATTCCCAGCCCATAATTGCATAATTATTTGAAGTATTTTCACCTTTAATTTTTAAGGATTCAAGTTGCACCTCGAGTCCAATGTCCACTTCTTTTCTGGAACACAATTTGAAATTGCTCCCATGTAGCTTATATGAGATTCTCCTTAATTCTTTTTTTATATATACTTGTTTCTGGCTGTTCCGACATTTTAAAAAAAGGTTGCTTGCTGCTACAGCCCTTCCAATCCAGACTGACTGGGTGCTGCCTCAACTACTGGTTGCCTTGCAACATTTATTTTTAAAGTTGGCACTCTCTTGGAGAAGCAACCCACATTTTTGACTGCAGGATTTTTTTTCCCTCTCTTTGGGTGGCTGTGGATTCTTCATCCTGATGATGATTTCTTCACTTTTGAAGACAGGAATCCCTGAGCATGTAACATTGTGAGAGTAGTCTGCAGCTGGCATCTGGCTTCTTGTAATACTAGTCTACGGGGTTTACTAATATTAAATGATAAATGATTAATCACTAGTAAATCTTCGGTGGAAGAGCCATGTACTTGATTATAAGAATTAACATATACTAATACAATAAGAGGTTACATTAGTTTAAGGCAGGTTAAACACAATAACACTAGGTAAGAGACATTATTATAAACTAAGAGATAGTAACTTAGTCTATGCTATATAGCTGTAAATTGTGGAACTAACTAACCACTAACAACAAATAGACTATCTTAGAACTGCTTAGCACCTCAGAGGTAGTCATTTATATTTTAGTGTGTGTGGCTATTCCAATGTGACTGAATAAACCCTTTCAGGCCAATTGCCCTATGCAGTATTATGATTGGGTGAATTGTTACAACTTATGAAGATTGAACCCAGCCCAAACGAACTTACCTGCAGTGTTAATGGAGAGAAGGAATGGCAGGAAGTAGGTCAACCATTTAAATATTTGAATAAGACTGCATTCTAATGCCCCTTGGGCTGCCCTCCCAGGGTCTTAAAAGAAAATTCACCCCTTGACCATCCATTATCCTGCTAATTATATATTATTTGAATATCTAATTGTACATAGGTCATGGGCATAAAGTGTAGGGATTCATTTGTGGTCCAATGTTTTAACAGACTGAAACTGTGATTGTTGGGTTTGGATGTTCATGTTTTTCTGTACGTCTGTATGAAGAAGCTTTTAAAGTCAGCAAAGTGTAGTCACTGCCTGACTATTTAGAGAATGACACCTCTCCTGTGTTTTCCAGGAGCAGCTGCAATCCCCACTACCTACAGCTCTGACCTCCATTATTCCCTGTCTGGATGGAAGCCAAGCCTGTCAATCATCTAACTACCAAGAAACAAACTGTGAGGTAAACCTCCAGACATGTGGAGAGGACTTGCACTTCTGAGTTCTCTGAGAGAATCTCTGCCTGTCAAAACTCAGAACAAATAGTTTAACAAAGTAAACCACATTTATTCATTAGTGTTTAGTCCTTTGTCCAATTTGACATTGATTTTAGACCCAATAGAAGTGATAATCTGCCAAAAGGCAGTTCCTCTGCTCATTTCTCCATGCTTTGTGGTCTTATGTTGTCCTCTTCAATTTATAATTAAAGCTTCCCATTTTCAACTTAATATTGACTAACATCATCATTCTCTTTCTCCCTCTATGTCTACATCCTTGAGAACTTCCTTTAAACATCATGTTCAAAAAGTTTTCACGTCTTAGATAATGGCCAATCTATGCTTGATACCGATTTCAAACATATTCATAAATGAACTTTCCTCCCCATAATTGTGAGAATTTTTAATTGCTCATATCTTCTCTTTAACTGACTCACTCCATCCTTCTCCAAGACAAAAAATTCAAAACATTCATCTTTTTGGGTGTTCATTTTTCTGAGGGTCCACATTTCAACCCTATACAACAAGATATTGCAAATCACAGTCTTGATCATTCTTTTATTAGGATTGCTATGCATCTTATGCCGAACAGTTGTTTGAACCCAGTGCAGTCATGTAAAATTTTGGTGGCAGTGCACAAATTATGTCATTACCCAGCTGTCCTGTAAACATCTCTCCAGCTTTCACTTCCATTAAACACAGAAGTTAAAATCATCCCCAGCAGAATTAAAGGATTGCTCTTGAGCACAACTACAAACAGATTACTTAATTAAAACATTATATTGTAAGTTGTAAAAATAGGATACAAGAATGATTAGTACCTTGTAAAGCCCAAATGTATAGGTGGTCTTTGTTACTATTTCAAGCCTGCTTAAGTAAATAAAGGCTACAGTCCATACATTATTATCCTGTTCCTTAGCAAGATAAGTAGTTGTACTGAGAGCAGTTCGGATGTCAATATTTCCAGTCCTGTTATGCAGCAGAAAAAAACACAAAATAATTTTGACCAAAATGATTTCAGTAACATTTCTGAATAAAAAATATAAATTTTAATTTTAGGGGTTTTGTTGAGCCTCTTCCTCATCACTTATTTGACTGCTAGGGATTATTACACATTCCCAGCAGAGGCCAATATGGTCCAGCTGCCTGATAGACACTGAATTCTGCTGGAATAATGACAAGATCATGTCTGAGTTGCTGGTAGTCCTCATCCTCATTAATAACATCAACAACCTTTATTAACTAAAACTATTTACAGGAGGTGATAAGAGAGGACATCTGATGTTCTTATAACATTATTTCTTACACACAAGCCCAGTAGCTGATTTTAGAATAAATGTAGTTAAACTTTTACACCGTATCTCCCTGAAGTTCATTCCTCTCACACATGAATATTAACGTTTACATCCAGCTGCTGAGGCATTACCTCCAGTGGTGTTCTTGCATTTCTTTATGTATATGTTCCCTTTTGGTTTCCTTGAAAGGTGAACACATTGATTCTTGTTCTGTGACACATCCAAGGATCTGAATGTGACAGCAGTGATGCCCAATCAAAGAGAGACTGATTCAAAAGCCAACTCTCCATCATAACCTCCTGAAGAGAAAGGCAATGAACTGAAATTTGTATTCTTGTCTTCTTCTGCATTGGACCCTTTCATTTTATTAATTCATGGGAGATGGGCCAGCCTTTATTACCCAACCCTAATTACTCCAAGTTGCAAGTAGGCCATATTAAATAAGGACCACAGATTTCTTTCCCTAAAGGACACTCATTAATCAGATTTTTAGGACAATTGACAGCGGTTACATAGTTGCCACTAGATCAATTTTTGTTTGAGTTTTTTTAAGTTGAATTCAAATTTCACTATCTGCCATGGTGGGATTCAAACTCATGGACTGAGACTATTGGCCTGGGCTTCTGGATTGCTAGTTCAATGACATTATCATTGTGACACTGTTACCCTTAGGAAACATTAAAGCATCAGCTAAAAAAAAAATGAAGTTCCTTCTGCTGACATGAACAGGTCTGTAGCTACGTTATCACCGCTGCTGTGAAATTGATTAACAAAAAGAACAGAATATTCTGCTGCTGTGAAATTAGTTGACAAAAAGAAGAACGAAGAGTATTCTGAAGACAGTTCTCACAATATGGAAATAATTATGTTCCTACTAGTCCTAGAGTAGGAATTTCTCTCTTCATAGGTAGTGATATCGCCTCCACAATTACTTTAGGTCAAGGTTGTTTCTGTGTATAACATCTTGGAAAATCCTTCAGAAAGTAGGAGTACAGCATTACGTTCAATGGTATAAAGCTTTGGACCAGGAAATATATGAATTTCATGTGTTGTACTCTGGTCTACAGATTCGACAAAAGACTGATCAATAGCAGGGTATTCAGAGTAGGTCACCTGCTTACCAGTCTCAATCTCATTTGAGACTTTGGACTGACTAAATGTTGAAGATGTACGTTTTGATTTCCCCTTCATATTTTTTTAATTCCTCCTTCAAAAGAACATAATCATTTTGAAATTGATTACTTCAATTAACAAATGCTTGCTTTTCAAAGGTAATGTTCAGTAAACGAATACTAGGATCACTGTTCTCTCTCTCAAGAGATTCTTCTTCAAATGCTGTTGACTGTTTACGTCTGTTTTTGTCAACTAATATTTCACACACGTCTTCAAGCATTGAATATTTTAGTAGAAGAGAGCTTTTTCCACCAGAAGAGCTTCTCTTTCTGCAATTATTTCTCAAGAAGCTCCATAGGATTTGCGGAAATATTTCTTTGCTTTCTCAATCAGTTCTGCTTTCTCGATCATGCTGTGTAATTGATAATAGTTAGGCTTTTAGTTTAGCAGTTTCTTTTAAGTGGTTAGAATTCTCCAACACTTGTTTATATTTTAGCTCTGTTTGATGGCCAGCCTTAAACTTTTCTATGATATTCCTCAGCTATAATAGGTCAGTAGTTTGAGTTTCTACTGTTTTACTGAAAGAAAATTGAGTATTTCCAGAGCTTGCAGCTGCAGAGTTAGCTGCCACATTAATAATTCTAAACATTCAATATTAGCTTGATAGAACTCAACTACTCCTTTATTTCTGGACATGCATTCGCAAGAATTAAGAGTAGGAATAGGCCATTCAGCCCCTCAGGTCTGCTCCCCTATTCAATAAGATCATGACTGATCTGATTGTAGATTTGAGGTTACATACTACTGATAACCTTTCATCTTATGCTGATCAAGATTCTGTCTATTTCTGTGTTAAAAATATCCAAGGACTCTCCTTCGATCACTTCTTAGGGAGAGTGTTCCAAATACTCATGATGCTCAGAAAATATTTTGCCTCATCTGTCTTCCAAATGGGCAGCCACAGATTTTTAAACAGTGACACCTATTTTGAGATTCTACCATAGTAGTAAATACTTTAACATCTAAAGACTATTTTCTTAACAACCTGTTCAGAGATATTATTATAAACCTCTGGAGCAGGTGGGACTTGAACCCAGGCCTCCCAGCTCCAACATAGGGATACTGCCACTGCACCACAAGAGCCACATATCCCATCAATACCCCTCAGAATCTTATCTATTTCAATCATGTCACTTTTTATTCTTCTGAATTCCAATGGATACAAACCTAAACTTGTGGAACGTTTTCTTATATGACAAGTTGCTCATTCATGGTATTTGTCTGAAAGGGGAACTACCTCTTGGTGATCTGTTGCCAGTTTGAAACTTTTCTTTGAATCTCTTAAGTTTATTTTGGAGTGTCTTTGTACATTATTGTAAGTATTTGTTGCATTCAGTTGATTTCTGCCAGGATACTATCCAACCTATCTGAATTTGAAATGCTCTTTAATCTGTGTCAAAGCTAAAATAAATCTCCTTCATTCATCATTGAAGATTCCTTTCTAACTCCATTATCTATTACTTCCAAGATATTGTGATCACCTTGATATCTGTAAAAGTTCATCAAGTCTTGCTGATGCTCATTTGTGAATTATAATAAGCTCCTTTTCAATCACTGTTACTTTAAACATTAGGGCATCTACAATTTTAGCTGTTCATTGCACCTAACCTGTAACATGTGTCCTTCATTCCCAGTTGAGTTTCCTAGAACCTTGCCACAATGCTGTTCATCTCTAAAAAAGTATGGAAGTTTAGCGGAGACTTCAGGATAATAGTCTTCATCTCCTATAAAATGCCTTTATAACAGGAAGGAAGGCACATCTGTATCTAACAGTAGTTTCTGCTTTTGTTGCTTCAAAACACCCCTCCCCCTACCGCATCCCAAAACCAGCCCAGCTTGTTCCCGCCTCCCTAACCTGTCCTTCCTCCCACCTATCCCCTCCTCCCACCTCAAGCCCCACCCCCATCTCCTACCTACTAACCTCATCCCGGCCCCTTGACCTGTCCGTCCTCCCTGGACTGACCTATCCCCTCCCTAACTCCCCACCTACACTCACCTTTACTGGCTCCGTCCCCACCTCTTTGACCAGTCTGTCTCCTCTCCACCTATCTTCTCCTCTATCCATCTTCTATCCGCCTCCCCCTCTCTCCCTAATTATTTCAGAACCCCCTTCCCCTCCTCCATTTCTGAAAAAGGGTCTAGGCCCGAAACGTCAGCTTTCCTGCTCCTCTGATGCTGTTGGCCTGCTGTGTTCATCCAGCTCTACATCTTATTATCTCAGATTCTCCAGCATCTGCAGTTCCTACTACCTCCAAAAAAAACTCTTACTTTTTTTGACAGAAGGGTGGTTCCCTTCAAGAGAGATAAGCAAGACATCATGGTCATTGGCAATGAAGTCAAAGAATGTAGAAAGATCCAGGATCTCAGCTTCCACTAAATTATTGGCACCAGTGGCAGCGTAATTCTCTGTCACTCTTTCTTAATAAACCAAACTAAGGTGAACAGCCAATGCATGAATGCTACCTTCAACTTGTTGCACAAAAGGAAATGTTGGTGAAATAGTCAGTCACCAGGATGAAATCCTGATTGTAGATCGGATTTTCATGAGGAAGGAGAGTTTCACTTGATTGTTGAGTTTCATAGAATTGACATGTTTCATATAACTTGAATAATTGATGGATGACCTTATAATGCTGGACAAATATCTGGATTTAGCCAATTTTTTTCTGTTCCCCTGTGACCATTATGTACATGGTCAAACATGTCTTGGCAGAGCTTGCAGAATTATAACTTGCTTGTTTTTGAAGATTACATTCTT